AGATTGGTCCTAGGCTTGCATCGGGGTTAAATGTGCTGATCTCGACAATTGCACTGCGGTTATGGAAATGAATGTCCTTGATCTAAGAAACTATACAGTGAAATATTTAGGAGTAAAGGAACGCAATGTCTGCAATCGCTTTCAAATGGTTCAGAAAAATAGCTATACATATATGTATACGTGGATATACACACGCACGTATATAGTGCGAGCCCACATTGCCTACGGGAGCAAATGTGGCAAAATGTAAATCCATACAATTGGTGACTCTGGGTGAAGGGTATGGTGGACTTCTTTGCACTCTTCTTGCAACTTTTATATACCTGTGAAGTTATTTCAAAATAAAGTTTTATTTAAGAAACTCAGCAAAAAGGAGGGAGATCTACATAGGAGGCCTGGCAGAGCCATGACCACCATTCGGAGGTGGGATTTGGGAGCCCCCTCCTGGACCCCCCCTGCAGCCCCTGCGAACCCAGCACTGGGTTGCAGGGCTCAGCTGTCTCACACAGCTTTGCTCCCCTGGCCCCTCACTCCTCCTTTCTGGGCCTCAGCTTCTTTATTTGTGAGATGGGGATAATGCTGCCAGTCCCTTTAACTGTGATCTGGATTTCCCACATGCAGGCTAAGCTTCAGAAGTTCTGGGGTAAAGACAGCAGGTAAATCAGGACTACCAACGGTCAAGTTGAGAGGAGCCCTTAATTTTTTCGACACAAGGACTGTGAGGGTCTTCCTTGGATGAAACCTCCAGTTTGCGTAACTCAGAGACAAGGGAGCTGAACCCCTGGCATCTCAGCTGTCTTGAGGCCCCTAACGGGGCCCCTCCTATCCACAGGGGCAGCGAGCACCCATGCACCCTGTGGCCAGCACGCTTCCAGGTGAGCCTTGTGCTAGGACAGAGCTGGAAGGTCAGCCAGGCCTGGGGTGCCCATGCCTCTCCTCGCCACCATCACCTGTCTCTTGTCTGGACCACAGCTATGGGAGACCGCCTGATTCCCCTCATCTGCCCTGACCGCTCTCCTTCCCCTCACTCCTGGCAGGAGCTCCACCAGCTGCCTGTGGGATCGCCCATGACTTCAATCTATGGTCCACGTCCCTGCAGAAGGTCTGGGTTTCTGAGCAGAACGGTGACATGCCAGCCGGGGTGTCCTGCTGCCGTCTCAGGCTACAGACTGGAATGGAGGGACCGGGGCAGGTGGATCAGGAGCAGCTGTGGCCCCGAGTCAGGACCCAGAAGCCGGGAGACCCTGCAGTAAGTAGACTGATGGGTCTGGTTACCCTAGCTCTGTGTCTGAGCTACACCAGGCCCCACCGACTCTGGCAGCAACGTTCTGCAGGCTCTCCATTTCCGGTGCAGAAAGGCTCTCCCCCACAGCCCTCCCTCTGTGCCAGGAACAGCGACAGATCAATCCAGCTGCTCTGCCTCCGCATCGGAAGTGCTGGGATGTGAGGACTCTCCCTGGCTCCCAGGCCAGCCGCAGTGGCCCTTTCTCCTGGGAACGAGGGAGCTCCTGACTCCCCACTCCCTGCGCCATGGCAATGATTAAAACTCTAAGAAAACTGCAGGCCACGGCTTGCTCCGCAGGGCTCCAGATCTCTTGGACTTTGGAGACCACAGGCAGTGGGAAAGCTGTCCTGAGGGTCCCAAGCCAGGAGGGCAGGGTGGGAAGTCTGTCCCAGTGGTCCACACTTGAACCCACCCAGCACTCAGGCAGGCAGTCCTCTGTGACTCATCATGGGATAGAATTCATGCATGATTGCACATGCAGGTTTATACATTTGCAAGAGCCTGAGTGTACACACTTTCCATTATATCTGACTGTTAATGCTAGCAGTGGTTAATAATATATCACTTACTGTACACAGGAAGGTCTGCGAGCTGTACGTGTATCTCACTTAATTCTCACAACGAGGAACATTTCATTACCCCCACTTTTTAGAAGAGAAAACTGACACAGAGGGAGATGCGGAACATGCCCAAGGTCACAGCTAGGATTGGGATTTGAACCAGGTTCTTGCTCCTCATCCCAACCCTAATACTGCCTCCTTCGATAAGTGCTCAACAAAATTGGGTGGACCATACTGTGTGGGCACATACCCAGGAGAAAAAAAGAGAAAGAGAGCAAGTGAGTGCACCTTGAGATCCATCCAGGCCCCACTGCCTAGCATGTCCCACACCCTTAGTCAGTGCTTCCGTGACCTTCTCATGCGTAACATGAGAATACGTTCACATGAGAACAAGCCAGAAAGAATGAGATCTGACTACCAATGTTCTTCTGCTTACAGAAAGGGGCCCAGAGCTGAGGCCCATTTTTAGAGATTTCCCAAAGGCTTCTCCTGCTGCTGGCTACCCTTCCCCTTCCCCTCCCCCAGTCTGGGCTTCCCTGGTCCTGGGGCCAAGAACGCCCCGGCCTGGCTTCAGGACTGGGGAAGAAGGAATCCTGTGCGTGGTTTCCCCACTTCTTCAGGCTCGAGTATTGCCCCAGTCCCCGGCCTCCCTACCTCCCAGCTCGGGTGGGCCCAGGCACTCTGACAGCTTTGCAAGGAAAGGTGTCCCTGAGACACACTTCCTGGCTTTTCTGCGCAAACAGCCTTTGCTGCAAAGTTTGTCGAAGCATTTGGGCTTCAGTTTTTGGTTCAGAGTCTGCCAATGTTTTCATTTGGAAGGGGAAGTGTTTCTGTTGATGTGGTGAAGAGATAAAATAAGACATTCTTCACCAAGTTACAAGTCAAGCGCTTGGCTTGGAGGCAGAGATTCATTTTCAGATCTGCAAGGCCTAGCACAGGGCCTGGTAGAAGAGCAGGCAGAAGCAAAGTTTGTTGAATAGCTGCCTGAGTGAATATGTAAAGGGCCTAGAACCAGGCATGGTCAATGATCAGTACTCAGTCCAGGTTTTGACTGGTTTTTACAGGTTCTACCTTTAAAAGGTGTTCTCAGTCTGTGTTTCTCCATCTTCAGCAACCTTGCCCTATCCAGGCCCCCATTACCTCCAGCCCGAGCAACTAAACAGTTTCTAACTGGCTTCCCCGCTTCCATACTTGCCCCGACAGCCCATTCTGCCCACAACTGCCAAAGTCATCTTTGCAAACTGTGAATTGAACTTGTGTCATCTCCTGCTTCAAACCTTCTGATGGCTTCCCATTGCTCATGGCCGTGGCCTCCCAGGTCCTGTACGGTCGGCCCCCACCTGCCCCACAGACCTCTCCTGGGGCTGCTCTTTAGCCACACTGGCCTCCTTTTGGTTGCTGCAAAAACCAACTCTCCTACCCCACAGCCTTGGCACTAGCGACTCCCTCTGCCTTGACTGGTTTTCCCCAGATCTTCAGTCTGGCTCCTGCTACCAATTTAGGGCTCAGCTCAACTGTGTCATCTCCTCAAAGAGACCTTCCCTGACCCCCCCTTCTAAAGCAGCCCATCTCTATTCTTCTGCTTCGCTCATTCAAGAGACATTTATTGAGTGCCTACTAAATGCCAGGCGCTGTTCTAAGTGCTAAGAAAGCAGCAGGGACTCAATAGGGATGCCCAGGTCCTTCCTACATGTCCTCATGGCTCTCAAAAAATCTGATCATCTTGTTTGGGAATCTGCTTGTCTTTTCTCACCAAGGGCCAGGAGGCCACAGCTAAGTCTCTCTTGTTCACTGTGTTCACCCACTGGGCACAGTACGTACTCCGTAAACATTTGTTAAAAGAACGGATGGATGGATGGATGGCAGGCAGGTAGGTAAGGAGACTGGGTAAGTATGCAGGGCAGCTGACCCACTCTCCACCTGGCACTTGGTTCTTGCTAAGGTCTCACTGAGCTCAAATGAAGTTTTATCAAAGAAATCTCACTGTCCCCCTCTCAGGGGGAGCCCTCAGCCCTCAGCACTACCACCAGCAGGTCCTGCCCCACCCTGCAGTCCCTCTGACTATGGTCATCTTGGCAAAGGCAGGCCACAGAGGGGAGTTAACTCAGCCTGCTTGGCGTAAATGGCATTAGTGTCCGTCTTCTAGAAGGAGCTCTTGTCACCTCAGTATCCTCCCTTCATTGCCATTCAGGCCCTGTGCCTAGTGACACTGCACATAGTCCAGTGGAGGGGCTCAGCCAAAGAGTGCCTGCAAGTCCCATGAACCTTCACCAGACCCAACAGCCTGCCTACCTCTCTCTCTCTCTCATCTTGTTCAGCTGCCTCTCTTCCCGGCTCTGAGACTTTGGCCAAGTCCTTCTCCTTCCTGGACCTTCATTTCCCTCCCATCAACGCACAAGGTGGGGCAGGACACACAGCTTCCTGGTCGCAGCCTAGAGGCAGGATTTGAACACCTCAGTGCAAAGATCCTGTGGTCCCTACTCCCACCAGCCCAAGAGCTCCCTGAGGCCTTGCAAACACTGCAGGCAAAGCCAGCCCCAGCTTGCCTGGTCTGTGAGAGCAACCTGCGAAACTGGCAGTCCTTGCAGATGCAAGCTGCACAACTGTCCAGCTGGGGCACCCTGAAACCCGACTCCCAAGTAGCAGCAAGCCCAAGGCCAAAAGTAAGTGCAGACTGCTGAAGGAGGTTTCTCCTCTCTGATTCAGCGGGGGCCCCACCCAGACCCCAGGGGCCACAGGACAAAGGTGGTCACTGCCTGGCTTGCTACCTCTCCTGACACTCCAAATCTTTATCCTCCCAGGACTATGGGAATCCCCAGAAAGCCAAGGTCACCATCAAGCCAGACTGAGGCAGAAGGGAGGAGCTGACAGCTCTGCCTCGAAGGGATCTGGGTGCAAAGGCGCTTACAAGCTGTGGCAGTAGGTACCATGGCTAACCCAAACACCCCTTAGGCTCTGCCTCCCTTCCCCTCTTCAACAACAACTGTCACCTTCATCAGAGAAAGCTTTCCAGCCCCAGCTAAAGGCCTAAGAGGGTCTGGCCATTGCTGGCAGACCTCCAGGAGCCTGGGGGAAGGGTGTGTGTCTGGTCTGGAGATGCCACCCTCTTCTCCAGCGCCCCCAACCCACCCTCATCTGGAACAGAGGGCACTTACAGGTCTTGGAGGCCGGAGACGGCCTCGTCCTGCGGATCCCATCCCTGGCCCGACGATGCCCCCAACCAGCAGCGGCGGCATGATTTGGGCGGCTGGTCCAGGCCGAAGGGTGCGGGTCGTTGGGGGGAGGGGAGGACGGTAGCCAAGCCTACTCCAAGTAACCATCGAAGACATCGAGCTCGGAGTCGGCATCGTAGAGGCCCGAGCCGGGGTCGGAGAGCACTCCGAGGTCCACGAGCGCCTGGTCCATGTCCTCGGGCAGGAAGACGAGGCCCACGTTGAGGACAATGTACTCCATGAGGAAGGCGTAGTATAGGATCAGCACATTGACGAAAAACAGGCCCACGTAGAACATAGAGGGCAGCAGAGACGGCGGCACGTAGGGGACCAGGGGGCCCAGCGCGTCCAGGTGGGCCGCGACCCGGGCGCCGGGCATGCAGGGGGCGGCGAGGGCGGCGGCCCGGCGATCCCAGCGATCTCAGCCGCTGCGGCGCCCGGGCGGCCGGCAAGGGGGCAGTTCAGCCATCCAGGGGCGCCCCGGGGGCTGGACCCAGGCGGCGCTGGGTCCCGGCGGTGCCCCGCCGGTGTGCGCCGGCCTCTGCGGACGCGCCCCGGCCCCTGAAACCTGTCCGGCGGGGTCCACTCACCCCAGATGTGCCCACACGGTCCTCTCGATCCACCCGGCGGACAGGCAGGCCCTCCCCCTGAGATGCCCGGTGGCTGCCCGGGTCCTCCGACGCGCCTCGTTCGCGCTCACAGGCCCTCGCAGCGCCGGCGGGGACCCCACCGCGGCTCAGCGTCGAGGGCCAGTCCCGGCGGCGGTCTCTCCAGCCCCGCCCGACAGTTCCTCGAGCCCCCTCCTCGCCCCCGCAGGCCCAGGGCCCATGGCTGCGGCCGCCGCGTCGCCCTCCGGGTCGCGTTCCGAGCACCGCCTCCGGAGCGGCCCCGCGCTCATTGGCCCGCCGCCCCTTGCCCGCGCTCATTGGCCCGCTCGACTCCCGCGCTCATTGGCCCGAGCCATCCGGAGGCGGTACCGCTTCGCTCCGCCCCTCGGGGGCGCTGGCCTCTGAGCTGCTTCCCGGGTTCCGGGCTCCGCCCAGGTTTCAAATCAATTGGCTCTGCGAATCCCCCAGGGAGTAGCGG